AAAAATTAGGGATGGAATGTGCTCATCGGCCTCTTGCACTACCAGTTGGGATAAATAGTCTACCACCACGTTCTCAACTCCCTTTTTTTCTTTGATTGTCAAATTGAATTCTTCTAGGAGGAGTATCCACCTAATGAGTTTCAATTATTCATTCTGCTTAGACAACAAATATTTCAAAGCAGAGTGATTTGTATGGACTACTATAGGTGAACCAATAATGTAGGAGCAAAATTTATCCAATGCAAATACTACTGCTAGCAATTCCTTTTTAGTGGTTGTATAATTCATTTGTGCCTCATTAAGGATTTTGCTAGCATAGTATATTACATAAGGTCTCTTGTCTTCCCTTTGACTGAGCACAGTGCTGACCACGTAATCACTCACGTCGCACATAAGTTCAAATGGTATATCCGACTTGGGTGGTCGCATAATTGGAGGTGTTGTAAGCATGCTTTTCAATTTTTTGGAAGATACCTCACAATTATCCGATCAAACAAATGGGACATCTTTTGAAAGCAAATTGGTCAAAAATCAAGCCAATGCACTAAAGTCTTTAATGAAACGACGATAAAATCCGGCATAACCAAGAAACGAACTAATATCTTTGATGACATTTGGTGTGGGGAGGTTGGAAATTGCCTCAACCTTTGATTTGCCGACTTCAATCCCCTTCGTTGAGACGATGTGCCCAAGCACAATTCCTTGTATCACCATGAAGTTGCACTTCTCCCAATTGAGGACCAAGTTCTTCTCTTCACATCTCTCAAGAGCTTTCTCCAAATTCTCTAAGCATCCATCAAATGAATCCCTGAACACCGAGAAGTCATCCATAAATACCTCCACTATCTTCTCCACCATAGCACTGAAGATCCCCATCATAAAACGTTGAAAAGTTCCAGGGACATTACACAACCCGAAAGGCATACAACAATAGGCAAAAGTATCGTAGTGGCAAGTGAAGGTGGTCTTCTCTTGATCTTCCAGTGCAATCTCAATTTGATTGTAGCCAGAGTATCCATCCAAGAAGCAATAAAACAAATGTTCATCTAATCTCTCCAATACTTGATCAAGGAATGGCAAAAGGAAGTGATCCTTTCTTGTGAAAGAATTGAGATTTTGATAGTTGATGCATACTCTCCATCCGGTTATCACCCTAGTTGGAATCAACTCATTATCCTCATTTGCTACCATTGTGACCCCCGATTTCTTCAATACCACTTGAGTAGGGCTCACCCATTTACTGTCGACAATCGAGAAGATGATGCCCATATCAAGTAGTTTAAGTACCTCGTCTCTCACCACATCCTTCATAATCGGGATTCAATCTTCTTTGCGGTGTTTGGGAAGGCTTGGAGTCATCCTCAAGATAGATGTCAGGAATTGTCCAACCAATTGCTCCCTTGTGCCTCCTCAACACTTTCAAAAGATCTTCTTCTTGCTTTTTCTCCAGAGTTGAGCTTATCACCACCGGAAAGGTCTTATAATCCCCAAGATATGCATACTTAAGATTAGATGGTAATGGCTACAACTCCAAAATGGGATTTTACACGGTTGATGGAAAAATCTTCTTGTCTAGACATGGAATTTTCTCAATTGTAGGGGTCCACTTTTCTAACCCTTTCAAGCTCTAGCTCCTCTTGCTCTTCAACCTCTTCTCCCCCCCCCCAATTTCAACATGCCCAAAAGCTCCAAGTGCTCCTCCACCAATGTGTCAATCCTATTAACTTCTTGCACTTCCTCATCGTCCCCCAGTTGTTTGTTCAAATTGAACACATTAAAATCCATAGTCATGCTCTCGAAATTAAGCTTCATAAGACTATTCCTACAATTAATAACAGCATTGGAGGTAGCAAGAAATGGTCCACCTAATATAACAAGGATTTGGGAGCAAGGGTTAGCAATAAGGTGAGTCTCAAGCACAATAAAATCGACAAGAAAATAAAAGTTATCCACTTGAACCAAAACATCCTGAATCACTCCCTTAGGTGTTCAAATGCTCTGATCCGCCAACTGAAGAATGATTGAAGTTGGCTTCAACTCTTCAATTGAAGTTGCTTGTACACCGAGTAAGGTAGGAGGCAATTCCCTATTATGATGGCAATTGTAAGGGCAACCGGGGTCTTTAAACTTCAGTGGGGTGTTCATCCTCAAGATTGAGTTCACTTGCTCGGTGAGGAATGCCTTCTTGTGGATGTTGAGTTTCCTTTTCACTGTGCACAAGTTCTTCAAGATCTTTGCACAAGATGAAATTCGCTGTATTACGTCGAGGAGTAGAATGTTGATTTTCACCTTCTTGCACAATTGAATTATATCAGAATAGTTAGCCACCTTAATGGGTGGCTTCAGACGATTAGGAAACGGGGCAGGAATGGGGGATGCATGTACACTTTCATCAACCACTTTCTTCTTCTCACTCACCTCTTCTCCCAAGTTTTATTGGACAGAGGGCAATGGGGGCAATTGATGAGTCAGGCCCAACCCACGATGGTGAGCCCAGTTTAAATTAAAAGCCTAACTTAAAAAGGTTCAGTAAGTCCAGCCCAAGGGGATCCACGTCTAGTCATGCTCATCAGGGTTCAAGGAGCTACATCACTAAGAAGTTACCAGGGTCATCCATCCATGCCGCATTGAAAGAATTCAACCACCATGTCATCCTTTGATCGAATCTTATAGGGAGCGTCGTAACTACCTCATCTGTTGAGAAGATGGCAGCAGCTCCACCAGATTAGCCACCTAGTCATTGATAAGTCATCGTAATCTATTAGGAGACAATTATAAATTATAAGTCCTACCAACACTTGGGGTACATCACACTCAATTGAGCACATCTCCTACCACTCTTCCCTATCTTTCATAGCTTGTATTTCCTTGCTTTCACTATACACCTTGAAGTAATAAAATATCAGGTGACCCTAACCCTTCAAAGTGGACGTAGGTCATATTGACCGAACCACTATAAATGCCTTCTCTCGTTTAACTTATTATCTCTCTCTACTTTATTGCTGCATTTATTATTGATTATTTGACAGGTGGTATGTAAACCCAATTGGTGCATCATCAGAATTAATTGTTCAAGTGTCCATTAAATTGCCAAACTTTTTTTGGTTGTGCCAATTGTGATATAGTTGTTTGAAGGAATATTCTATCAATTAACTTGTGAGATGAAATGGTATCCATTATTAACACACCCTTGGAAATCTTCAAAAATTCCACTTTTAGATTGTGGCCTTGCTGTTTTCGATTTGCCACAACTTCTTGCAGGTAATGAATTTTTTTGAATATGTTTGCGTGTGATCTAATTTTGCTCTCTTCAATTCACATTTCTTAGATGTAAGCTTCTTCTTTTTTTTTTTTTTTGCACATATCACCTTAGTACTAAAGCAAACAAGTTGAGGAAGTACAAATTTTCCAATTATGTGTCCATTCTCCTAGAATTGATTTTGTCCCCTTAACGATATGACTTCATCTTGGTAAGTCTTTGCAATTATAAATATATGCTTAATTTACTGTTTATTCTAGTAAATAATTTTTTAATTGTGCTAATGCACTTTTGTTGTGTTTGATGTCGATTGACAATGAATTACTTGGAGTTGGTTTTAGCAATAAAATATCTTCCTTTATGATCTAAGTAGTTCAAATTTTTGTGACATCTACATATTGTGGCATTTGATTTTTTTCATGTTGGATTTTTATATGAATGTTTTGGTATGAGTTTTTTTTATGGGCTTCTATATGGATATTTTTGTATAACTTCTTGTATGAATGTTTTTATATGGGTTTTGTATGGATGCTTTGGAAATTATGTTCTTTTTTTTTTTTTGCTTTTATGAATTATTTATTTTTTATTGATCTTTAATGATTGAAGCACTGTAGCAAATATATTTTCATTTGTTACTAGGATAAAAGTATTCATAAAATGCCACTCTTTATACACGATTTTTTTTAGCGATGAGTAAAATTTGGTTGCTAAAAATCTCTTAATTTTTGGTGGTGAATAAAATTTTGTCACATATTATTTGAGGGTGAAAATATTCATTTGTTGTTTGGCATTGAAAATATGTTGGTTGCAAAAAATATACTTTGATTTTCAGTGACAAATACTATATCATCGCCAAAAAGAGAAAATATGACAACAATATAATTTCTTTCAGCAACAAAGACTTTTTTACAACAATCAGATGAATTTTTAAGTGATTAAGTTTTTGTCGCTAATAATTTTCTTTTGTGGCGATACTTTAGTTAATCACCAAAAACTTTCAGTGATGAGCCTACACTAAATTTTTTCATTGCAATAAGCTTTTAGCTGCGAATTAATCACTTTTAGTAATGAATTTTTTTTGTCGCTAAAAAGTATTTTTCTTGTAGTGTAGGTGTGCCACTTTATACAACCAATAATGAGAAACCCTAGAAGAAGAGTATAAACCACTAAAAATACTAGATGAACTTAACTCTATGGTACATACTTCTTTCCTTGCAATTACTTTGCTTGATCTCTTAACCTTACTAACATAAGCATTAAAGTGTCTCCGATTGATCTATTTCAAGTCCCGGACAATTTGATCGTTTTGCAATAAGATTGTATATTTTATCCGTTTATCTCAAAAATCGAGCACATAGACTTCACTTCACCATCAATATTACATGTGAGATTTTTTTCTCCTACACATACAATTTGAGTTATGCAGTGATCTTACTTTAGCATTTAATCTTCGCTTAATTTTCATGGAGTATATTTTCCACTCTCTTAAATGGAACATGATCAGACCACTGAAGAAAGAAAATAATTATGATTTTCGATTGCTAGTGGTAAAAACGATAATATAGTAATGTTACGTTGACCAAATTTTGCGACCAAATTTAAAGCTCAAATGACATAGCAGTTGACTTGGACTTTTTTAATTGGCGTCATGTCATTTGAGCCCCAATAAAAACACCAAATAATATGGTGACATATCATTTGGACTCTTAATTTGATTCTAAAATTTGGTCAGTATAGTATTACTGAAACACCAATTATGGGAGACTCTTAGGAGCTATAGTATTGAGAATTATAAGGCCTAGCAATATAATTCATGAACATGATAGCTGTAAGCAAATGTCACAGGAAAAACTCCTTAAAATTCTTGTTGAACACATGTTGGGTGAAGGTCATAGTCGCAAATGTCACAAGAAAATGCCCAGAAGCTTCCACGCTTTTTGCATGAATCACAAACGAATGTTTTTGGCATCTCCAACTTAAGAACATGCTGATGCTTTTGGTCCTTTATTTGACGAGGTAATCCATCTGCTTCCTTTCTCAAAGCGGTTTCTATCTCTTCAATTCTTGACTCAGTAAATGGGAAAGCATCAGCGCCATACAAGGAGATCATAGCCCTCCCTTTTGTGCTGATGGTCTTCCCATCCCATCCGAGCAGGACCAAAGCTGGAATCTCTTTGATATCAAATATCCTACAGAGGTCTTGCCGTGTCCTGTCCTCGTATGGGATAACCACCCAAGGCATCTTACGCATGTTGAGATCAAACTCGTCATGATCTCTATCCGTCGAGACAAATACTATTTCGAAGCAATCTCTGGTGGTGTGGAGCTCATTGTATGTTTCTATTAGTTGTGCACTGAAAGTTTGACAAGGTGGGCACCAATGTGCACCAAAGTAGAGACCAATTGTCTTACCAACAAGTTCGGAGACCAATATCTGCGAGACGGCAGCAATGTCAAAATAACAGCTAGACATATTAGTCAATAAAAAAAACTAGATATACTTAATAAAGAAAAAGACATTTGGGCCCCTCAACTCTAGCTCCAATATAACTTTTCCCCACAACTATTGAGTTTCTCACATTACCCACTCAACTATTTGAATTGAATTCACACTGCCTCACAACAAAGGTTTGGCATGTTCCAGATAGAATAAGTCCATGTGTGTAACAAAAGACACGTTGCTCATGTTTATAGTTGGTGAAATATGAAACCATTAACTACTGTTGAAGTACAATATGAGAAATGTGATAATTGAGGGGTCCTTATTGAAATGAATAATCATAGTTAGCGGTACAATATAATAGGCGTGATAGTTGAGATAGTTGAGGGGCAATGTCAAATATAGAGCATAGTTTACGGAGACAAAACGCTAGGTGTGACATTACCTTCCTACCATGCCCAGAAACGAGGTAGTTTCGTCCTCCATGTGCCAAGAGTTCTTCCAATTTTCCTCCTTGAAGCTTCACTTCATCCATAGCCTTCAATGCCTCTTTTCTCTTTTTAGTGAAGGGAAAAGCATCGGCCCCATAATCCTCAATGAACCCCACAGCATCTTCTTCAACCTGGCATACATCTGAACCCAGCGGTAAAAATGAAGGGATGTGATGAACATTGTACAGTTTGCTCAGTCGCTTATGCAAGTTCACGTTGAATGGGACTGCAAGCCATGGCATAGTCTTGAAGTGTTCACTGAATCCACTCTCATCTCGATCAAATGAAACGAAGATAATTTCCAGATTTTCACCCATAGTTCGTAAAGTGCTATATAGTTGTACAAGTTGGGGGCTAAAATTTTTACAAGGCCTGCACCAGTTGGCGGAGAAAAATAGGCAAATCATCTTCCCATTAACCGATGATAAGGGTACCTGAACTCAGAATCGAACGAGGATTTCTTAGCTTCAGTATCCAAACCAGGAAATCGAACTGTGACATACAAAGTCCATTCTAAATTAAGCAGAATTGATTCATAGAACTAACAAGACCGTACGGCCTTCTTTAGTTGTGGGAAAATCAGGTTTCTGGTAAACACGTCAAATGCATTTCTGTAACAAGACTGAAATGAATATGAACTTGACTTGACATATTAACGAACTATAAAGGTCCACTAGTTTATGTTTCAGAAATTTAAGACTAAAATCTGTGAGCAAAATGAAGTGAAAACCAAGATGGTAGGCGTACAACGAGAACTTGAACCAATAAACAAATTTAAGTGAATAATCATACCTTTTCTTCGCCAGATATGAGGAATTCGACGCCCTCTGATGCGAAGGTTGTCCGGATGTTTCCACTGCCCATGCTTTCAGCTTGTTGATCAGGCCCGCCCGTGAGACTGACGAGGGGCGTGAGAATAAATAACTACTATGGTACACAGGCTTTGGCATTGTTCTTTATTTACAAAGACAAAGAGGGATATAGGAATAATTTAAAGTGAGATTAGTGTTAATCTCACTTTAAACCCCAAAAGATGCTTCAATTCTCAATTTATACCTGCAAACATTAAAAATTTTGCTTTAGGCTTTGGCTTATGTGTAAATGCGTGGACTGTTGGTAAATCATATGAGTTATATACATGAGAGTGTTAGCTTTTATTTGATTAATGAAATCCTTAGATGCACAAAATAGTGTCAACTTGATTGCAAACAAATATTTGTGGTAATGGATATATCTCATCTTCATGTCTAAATTACTTGCATTTCACATGCTTCAATTTATAATAGAAAATTGAATAGTAATCTGGGGTGATATTCACATTACTATCAATTTATAATATTGATAGTATAAATTGAGATTTTTAATGTTTGAAGGTATAAATTGAAAATTAAAATATATTTTGGGATACAAAATGAGATTAGCCCAAGCAATTAACTCTAATTTAGAAAGTGACCGTAAACGGTTGCCATTCTATCTTTCGATTTTCGGTATATAATATTTCTTTTTCTTCTTTCTTTCAGTCGTACTACTACTGAAAGGATGAAACTTTTTTATCCCTGTAAAATTTTATGGCATCCCATTTTTTTTTTGTTTCATTAAAATATTGACTGTAATAGCAGCATGAATAAAATATCGCTAATTGTCTTACAAATATTTTAAGTTTCAGCATTAATATTAAAAACTAAATGAATCTATGAAAAATTAAATCACTACCAATAATATATTAAAGCAAAACACAAAATTCTTTGAAAGACAAAAAATAGTAAATTATTTCAGCGATTTCTTTTTAGTGTATGTGATCAAAGAGTATAAGACAAAACTATCCTTCAAAAAAAAAAAAATTCAAACATAATTGATATCATCCACCATCTTGCTGAAAAATTGATTCCATAAAAAATCAGAAAACACATTTCTATGTTAGGATATTTTGCCATTTGCAATTATTCCTGTTTAATTACATTGAGGGGGCGGAGCCACCCTTGGACCAAGGTGGGCACGTGCCCCCCTCAAATTTTTTTTTTTTGACATTAGATATATATTTTTTAAAATAAAATTTAAATATATTTAATTGTGTCCACTCTCAATTTTTTTTTTACAATAAATATATGGTTTTTAAAATTAAATTTAGACATATTTAATTGTGCCCTCAATTTATTATTGTGTTATTATAATGTCAATTAAGTTAGACAGTTACTTAAATAATAATTAATTTTTAAATAATGTTATTGAAACTAATACATTATGATATTGAATTTAATAATGAGTCCCTACTTTTAATAATATCTACTATCTATGCAATGGTCACAAATCATTGAGTTCCTACCAACTAAATTTTGAATTTTTTTTGGTCAAGATAATTAAATTTCGAATTAGATGCAATTAATATTATTCTTAAATTTTTAGACACAGACATGTCTGAATAATTTTTGGACATATAGCGTTCATTTTTCTAAATTATAGGATTATTTTATTATTGTATAGAAATGAACATCATAATGTAATAAATTACAGTGTAATAAATAAAAGACTGTTATTGTCATTTTGTATATAGAAAAAAAGTATTTATTGATATCATTGATTTGTAATTCTTTCAAATGATAAACAATAATCAAATTTAATTGTAAAATAAAAATAATTAGTCTCATACAAAGTTTTAATTAATTTACTTTTTTTTTTGTTTGTTCATTCCATGCAAATCGTTTTTTAAACTTTTATATTTAATGAATTTTACACATAATTATAGTAAATATGAATTTGTGAATTTTTATGGTCAATTGATAAAAAAAAATGAAAAATGGTATTTAGATCTAATTTGATGAGATAATTTAATGCACCCTTTTGATTGAAAGTAGACTTCATCTAACATTAAAATTTACAACTAAAATAACAGTTTCATTGAATTAAGTCATTGGTAACATTGATAAAAAAAATAATTAAAATTTATTAATGTGTCTACCCTAAAATATTTTTCTAACTCCGCCCCTGATTACATTACATGTAAACTGGTGCAAATTTTGTTAAGAGTAACTGTACAACTTTTTAAAAGTATTCAACAATGAGGTGTATTATATTTTTTCATATAAGAGCTAAAATTTCCATCGTCAGTTTCATGCAGTCCAAACATTTTTGATGGGTTCGAGAAGCATTCACTCACTTAGAATTAAAAAGGACTAAGAGTGTGTTCTGAAATTTTTACAATCAAGGGGGCAACGTTTTAAGTTGGAAGAGATTAAGATGATTATCTAACACACTATATGCTGAGTGTGGCTCTGCCCCTGAATAGCAGCAGGGTAGTAATCATTTTTAACTGTGTTTTTTTTTTTGGATTTTTAACTGTGTTGAAAATAATTTTTTTTTATTTGGGACTTTCCACAATTTATACTCTAAAAGATTTCAAGATTTCTAAAATTCTTACTTTATATTTTCAAAGATTAAAACTTTCACATTGAACCTTCAAATGTATCGAAAGTGTTATAATGTGATCATTCTGTTAACTACCGTTATTTTGTCGATCAAACGTCAACACATTGGCACAGTCGAAAAAACTAATGAAAAACTAATCGCTCTTTTATTTAAAATAAACTGCCCTTTAGTTCTGTTATCCTCAATGTAACAGGATTAATAAACTCCATGGGTGAATAAGATTTAAACAAAACAGAAAAAACACAATATATGCAGAAAATAACCACGCAAAAATGCTCGCAAGACCACAAAAATGTTCAAAACCTTTGGCAAAGCAGTTTGTAGACTTGTAGGTCCAAAATGCAATGGCATTGGTGCTTTTGCGCCTTGTCACTCTGATTGCGACTGTTACCCAATGGGCCAATTTGTGCTCAGACTTGAGAGGAATAGGAATGAGAATCCAAAAATGTGCAGAGTGAGAATATGCCACTTAGCGTCAGTATAAACCGTCCTCAGTTATAATCTTCCTCCATAAGGACAATCCCATATCTTATACGTATAATTCATTAATTTGCATCTGATTCCAATTGATTGGACCACTCTAATTCCCTCTTCTTTTTTTTTGGTAAGTTGGACCCACTACACTCCAAATATTTGTTTTTCACACATTTCGGCTTCTACCCCATTTAACCTGCATATCTCTTTCTCTCTCTCTCTCTCTCTCTCTCTCTCTCTCTCTCTCTCACACACACACACACACACACACACAAACACACACTCGCACACCCACCCATGTGCCATACAAATACTCGGGAAAATGAGATCTATTTATTGTCGCTTCCTAACAAAATGTGTGTGGTGGAACCGAATGAGAACTAGAAAATGCAAAAATACAATGTATCTGTAAGTGGCAAAAAATCGAGAATACTTTCTACTGGAATTGAAAAATTGATATGCTTCTGAACTTAACCTCACAGTCTTTCTTTTACCTACAAAACGAAAAAACTGTCCAAGATCGAAGTGTTTCGATCGAAGGCACTCCGATACTTAAGTCAATAATGGTATTCAAACAAATGGAAGAAGATAAGGAGGGTTCAACGTACCTTTTTTCTTGGCTCCTTTTGCTTTTTATAGTTGGACATCCCCTTAGGATTTTTGTAATTCTTGATTCAAGGTGGCACACCTTCCTCCAATTCAGTGATTCGGTTTGGAAAGTTGCTGATATTTCTCCATTATTTTCTCCTGATATCTTCAATTTCTCTGATTCGCTTATCTTGATTGCCTAAGTTATAGGCGAATCTCTATCCTTCTGTTTATTATTTAAAACAGCTCGACCATATCGAATGTCGAGCACACTTGATATTTGCCGAACAGATTAAGGAACTTGGTTTGGCACAAACCAATCTCTTCAATTGCCTTGTCGAACACTTTAACAGACTCGGCTGGGTACAAGTCAAGCTCTTCATTGCTTAGCTGAATAGACTGATGAGTTTGGTCATAAAGGGAGTCGATCTTTTTCTGCCATTGCCGAACCTTTAATTAGCTCGGCTTGGTTAAAAAGCTTTGATAGAGAATTCTTGATCACATGTCTTGTCTTGTTAACATCACGTGAGCACATTTAATGTCATATCATGTGTAATCATGAGGTTTAACCCCTTCATTTGTCCCTAGAAAACATTTGACAGACGTTTTTTGGCTGTCAGTCGTTTTCTTATCGATTCATCATCACTTGTACTTTGAAACATGTCTTTTCATTTTGGCGGCACATTCAGAGCATTTAAATGTTTGCCCTTTAAAATTCCTCCTTCTTTATAACTGTCTTCCATCGTATTTTTGCTTTTCTACTACCAGACTCTCAGATTCTTATCCCCTTTTTCTGCGTTTTTCTTCCTCTGCACTTCATCTTCTTCATGGCTCCTATTACCCCATCAGAAGTCCCTGCCTTCAAAGTCAAGTACAACATTCTAGATGACGTCGAGGTTAGAGTTGCTGGGAAAGATGAGCCACTGATTGGTACCAAAGAGAGAATCTCCATCCCCACTCGTGCCATTACTGAGGGTGGAATCCATTTTTCCCTCGATCCTCTTCTTCTTTGGGTTCTCTCTGCTGCAAAACTCTATCCCCTCCAATACTCCCTCAATTTCTTTAGGATAGTCATGGGGGTGTTCGCGGTAAACAAAATCTTAGGTCTGAGTCTTGGTTTATGGGATATCCTGTACTACTATATCATCAAAGCTGCTGGAGATAGCTACTATCTTTCGGTGAGGAAGAAGGATCGCTATCTAGTCACCCATCTTCCAGATTCGAACAAAGGTTATGAAAATGACATTGTGTTTGTTTCTGGGAATTGGGAGTACCCTACTGGAGCCTCCCCCTCTTATTGCTGCCCTTTTGAAGAGGGTGCACCAGGTATTTGAATCTTCTTTTTCCTCAAGAAACATTCGTTGTACTTTCTTTTCTTGTATCTGACATATTGCTTATGTATAAGAGACGGTAAAAGGCAAGATTCCCAAGTCTTTTATTAAGTTGGACCAACTTCAGAAGGTTTGGGATTCAACGAGTCCTTGTTCTATTGTGCTGCCCATACGCTGTTTGGATACACACCAAACTACACATACTTTATTGCTGTGATGAACCGACCTAATGCGACGCTTGCAGCAAATCGGGAGGCAATATAAGCTGCTCAGGATAAGACGCCCCAAGGAAAAAAGAGACCTCTAGCAGCCTCTAGACGAAGGACTGTAAGGAATTTCTTAGAATTTTTGTCAACAGTTGAGTCGACTCCTTCCACCAAACAGACTCCAACTACTTCAGCCATTCCGATTTCTATTCTTGAAGAACCAACTGCCGAGGCCCTTTCTAAGGTGATTCTTTCTGAAGCCAATGATGTAGGTCTGCCTTTGGATGACCAAGCAGATTTGGCTCAAGCTGTTGAAACTTCTGTTCGTGTTGAGATAGATCCTCTAGAACCTGTTCGCTCCCCAGTTCAAGAAGACGATTCAATCTTTGAGATCGCCTAAGACCCAGCCCCTAAAAGGTAGAGGACTACTGAGTCTGAAGTGAGCCTTCCTCCCGAGCCTACCAATCCTCCATTCCAACCAGTCCTTAGAGCAAAAAAGAGGGAAATCACTACCAAGGACTCTGCAATAGAAGATTTTAATGTTGCAATAGGAATTGCCCGAGAAGTGATTTTGCCTAGGGATTTGGCAATGAATGAGGCTATTACTGACGATGAAGTGTCTCGTCAAGCAATTCAACATATGGTTATGGTAAGTCTTGATTCTGACTTCCTTTAAGTTTTTTATTCTTTCTAAAAATTTTGCTAAGTCTTTTTCCTCCTTAATAAGGGTCTACAAAAAATTCATGAGGTCGGAGCTCGAATAGCTCGAAAAGACAAGGCAATGAAAGAAGCCATCTATGCCCGAGCTTCGGCTCTGGCCAAAAAGGAAACCGTGGATGAGGAGTACGCAAAACTTTACGAAGAAGTGAAGGTTTTGCAGGCTAACAACCAAAGCCTGATCGAGGAGAACTAGAGGCTTTCTTTAGATGTTGAGAAATTGAAGGAGTCCGAGCACGAAATCAGCGTGGAGCTCTCTCAATCCCAACTTGACTACTCCACCCTCCTTGAGGAGTTTGATCAGTACAAGGCCGAGCCTAAAGAGAAAGAAGATGATGTTTATAATGAAGGTATGGAGAAAGCTGAGGATGACTTAGCTCTTCAGATCCCTCAGCTTCAAGAGGCATTCTTCAACAAAGGCTGGCAGGCTGTATTGACTGCAGCCGAGGTCGATCCTTTTTCAAAACTTTTCTCGAGGCATACAGCTCTGAGCTCCTCTCATCCTCCTACTCCTTCAAACACTCAGAAGACTTTTTTGAATGTTTTGAAATTTCTGGTGTAACTGGAATTTTTGATGTACCTGTTACAATGATCATGACCTTGTAAAAAATTTTTGAAGTATGAACGTAAAATGCTTTAAGTACTATTTGCTTTTCAACTCTTTAAGTTATGGCCTCTATTCGGCCTTTCTTTGAAAAGCGCAGCTCCTTAGCAGGGATCTTTAATACTTAGAAAAATTTATGTAGCTCTAGAAGTTATGGCCATTGCTTCGGCCTTTCTTCTGAAAGCTCAGTTCCTCAATGGGAACCTTTTTATACTTAGAAAAAATTTCAAGTCACTTTGAAATATTGGCCCTTTGAAATCTTGGCCCTTTTTAATGAGCTCAGTTTCTCAGCAGCAACCTTTTTATACTTAGAAAATTTTTAAGTCTCTTTGAAGTCTTGGCTCTTGCTTGGCCCTTTTTCAAAGAGCTCAGTTTCTTAGTAGGAACCTTTTTTTATACTTAAATTTTTTTTTAAGTCTCTTTGAAGTCTTGGCCCTTACTTGGCCCTTTTTCAGAGAGCTCGGTTCCTTAGCAGGAACCTTTTTATACTTTAGAAAAAATTTTAAGTCTCTTTGAAGTCTTCGCCCTTGCTTAGCCTTTTTTCAAAGAGCTCAGTTCCTCAATAGGAACCTTTTTATACTAAGAAAAAAATTTAAGTCTCTTTGAAGTCTTGGCCCTTGCTCGGCCCTTTTTCAAAGAGCTCGGTTTTTTAGTAGAGTTACTCAAAGTCCCCTTGGGATCTAAGAGTGTTTCTACTCTGCACCAACCCACCAATATGGTTGGACTCAAACTCATCCCTAGTTAGCTTACATCGTCATGCCTAGCTGAGGACTTGAATTTGATCGGGTGACTANAAGTCTCTTTGAAGTCTTGGCCCTTGCTCGGCCCTTTTTCAAAGAGCTCGGTTTTTTAGTAGAGTTACTCAAAGTCCCCTTGGGATCTAAGAGTGTTTCTACTCTGCACCAACCCACCAATATGATTGGACTCAAACTCATCCCTAGTTAGCTTACATCGTCATGCCTAGCTGAGGACTTGAATTTGATCGGGTGACTGNGGTTGGAGGAAAGCTATGAAAGAGAAGATGGATGCTTTACATCATAATGAGACTTGGGATTTCATTCCTTTACCCCCTGGTAAACGAACTGTTGGCTATCGTTGGGTGTATACTGTTAAATTTCATCCAAATGGTTATGTGGAGCGTCTCAAAGCTCGACTTGTTGCGAAAGACTTTACTCAGACTTATGGTATTGATTATGAGGAGACTTTTTCTCCTGTTGCCAAAATTTCTTCTGTTCGTATCTTGATTTCTTTGGTTGCTAATCTTGATTGGCCCTTGTTTCAGTTAGACATCAAGAATGCCTTCCTACATGATGACTTGGTTGAAAAGTTATACATGGAGTAGCCACTTGGGTTTACTGCTCAGGGGGAGAATGGTAAGAGTGTATGTCAGTTAAAGAAATGTTTGTATGGTTTGAAACAGTCACCGAGGACATAGTTTGGTAAGTTTTCAGATGCAGTTTTAAAGTTTGGCCTTCTTCGATGTCAGACAGATGTTGGATATGTCCTATTGGTGGTCTTATGTAGATGATATTGTGATTACTGAAAATGATTCTGAGTAGATTGTCAAGTTAAAAATATTCTTACAGATCAATTTTATACTAAGGATTTGAAAAAACTCAGGTATTTCTTGGACATTGAGATGACTCGATCTAAACAAAGTATTTGTTTATCCCAGNCTGAGTACTAGGTCTCCAAGTGTGAAAGACCAAGGGTTTATATTCTTGTTATAGGCTTGGGACATCTGATTATGATATGAAGTCATTCTTATGGCAGCCTACTCTTTCTTTTCCTCTGTCAGATCAAGATCTCGTGTGATGATGGCATCATTAATGTTGTTTTCAACCAGCTCGGGTTTTAAGGTCGGTAAGCCGATGTCCAATGGAATAACAACTTCCATCCCATATGCTAGGGCAAAGGGAGTGTTTCTTGTTAAGCGCCGAGGTGTGGTTCGGTACGTCCATAGAACACTCGACAGCTCTTCTACCCATCTTCCTTTGGCATCCTCTAGCCTTTTCTTGATTCCATCCAAGTTTGTTTTGTTAGAAATCTTTACTTGTCCATTGCTCTAAGGGTAGGCGAGGGTGGAATAATGATTCCAAATCCTGAAAATGCTTACAGAAAGTTTTGAAAGGATGACTATCGAACTGTGTGCCATTATTTGAAATGAGCGTATGCGGGATCCCGAACCTGGTAATGATATACTTTTAGATAAATTTCCTTGTATCAGTATCTCTGATATTGGCTAGGGGCTCGGCTTCCACCCACTTAGTGAAATAATTAGTTGCAAACAAGAAGGTACTTCTTGTTTCCTAGTGCCCGAGAAAATGGTTCCATTATGTCTAGTCCCCACTCACAAATGGACACGGGCTAGCCAATGGAAGCAGCTCTTGTGATGGTTTTCTCGATATTGGAGAGAATTTATGATATTTCTCGCACTGTCTCACAAACTATTGAGTGTCCTTCTGCATATATGGCCACCAAAAACCCTGAGAAATGGCTCGGTGCACCAAAGATCTACCACCCGTGTGAGCTCTACAGCTTCCTTCATGAATTTCAAATAAGAAGTCTGGGATTGTATCTGAGTGTATGCACTTTAAGTACGGGCCTCCAAATGAGAATCGATAAAGCTCAAGCTTTGGTGATAGCCAGAACCTAGTGGCTTTCAAATATAGCTTATGAGCTTCCTTCCTGTCTTCAGGCAATGTTCCATCCTTCAAGAAGTTAACTATCGGGTCCATCCAACTCGGCTCGGCTTCAATGCTTAAGGCTTCATTAGTTGCGCTCAGCTGGATATTGGATTTGGGTTGTAATTCCACAGTAAGAGTCATTTCACTCTCAATGTCAATGGCCGAGGCCAAAGAAGCTAAAGCTTCAGCATGAGAATTCTTTGCTCTTCCGATCTGCTGAATAGAATATTCAGGAATCTTGCTCAGTTTTGAATCTGCAATGGTATGGTAGGCTATTATTCTTTCATCCTTTACCGCATACTCCCCTATTATCTGATTACCACCAATTGTGAATTAGAGAATATTTGGAGCTTTATTGCCCCTAGCTCGGCTGCCAACCTTACACCAGCTATCAAGGCTTCGTACTCCGCTTCATTATTTGAGGCTTCAAATTTGAGCCTGATGGCTTTCCCCAAAGTACATCCATCTGGGCTTACTAGAATAATGCCAATTGGTGTGGTACCAGCAAGAATAACGAGAACCAACAACGAAAAGAACCCAAGATCGTTTAAGGATCAGATTTTATGGTAAACCTTGGNAAATACACTAAAATAGTAACCACAAAGAAGCCACAACACAAAACTAAGGAGTATGACCTTAACGCTAAATTCTTCAGTCAAAAGCCATGAACCCATTTTCAACAATGCAGTCAAAGCAGGGGAAGCAGCCGAACCAAATTCTAAGGACGAAGCTAGTAAAGGAAGTAACTACAAAAATCAGAGGACAAGATGATGAACACACATTAATAAGCACAACAAAATAAAAGTAAAATCTCCTCCAATAAAAATTGGGTAGGCACCTTTTTCAGCACAATTTGGCGAGGAAGCTGCTCTGCTAAATTTGGAAGCTTACGGAAGAATGTATCCTTCTCAACACTGTTCTTCAAATTAAGAATTTCCATGAACTGTATGGTCTCCACCAATTTATTTTGAAAATATTCTGCAAATACATGCTTTGCACTTTAATATTGACCAAAGAACACAGAAGGTAGGAAAAAGCACTCCAATCTTGGAATAAGTAAGGCAAAGTAACATAAGTGGAACATGTAATGACAAGCATAAATGGCTAGAGGTAAACAAGCATACTGCATTTCCATGGACATTTTTTTAATCAAAAGGAAAGAACTAGTCAGACGAGGTCAAATGTAACATAGATGAGCTTATGAATTCATAGATTGTATACCAATTCGTAAAATAAAACGTTAAATGAACAAGATCGCAGAAATAGGACACAAAATGGCACTCACTGATTATTATATCATAAAACATACTGTAAGACAAAAAAGAAACTTAACCTGCAAAGAGACAGGCATATTACCCTTTCAACTTTTTAAAGGACAACAACAGTTACAATTGAATGTGCACCATATCATCCATCCAGCAGTATTACAGGAAGTTGGCAAAGTAATTGAGTGCTATTTACTCTTTAGATAACAGGACCACTTCCTATCCATGAAAGCAGGACCAATATCATTCTTAAACTTAAATACCCAAGAAAATGAGGTCACCAGAGCTCATACAGACAAGAATAATGAAGGCTATACCATCATGATTCTAGGCTATTACCCTTAGAGCTACACTAACTGAAAAGACAGGAAGAAGAAAAACATACACATATGTTGTGATTTGTGTGCGATGATCAATTAAAGAAACAGAAAGTTAGAAGATGAACACAAGAATTTTACGTGGTTCGGCAACTTGTCTACATCCGAGAGAGCGGCTGCCTTGTTTTTTATTCCACACCAAAACAGGGTTACACCTTAATATATATAAGTTACAACCCTAATTCGAGCAAATCTTGAAGGCACGTGAGCCACGTATTCTAACAACAAACACATCAAACTAGAAGTTTAAACACAAAGGGGCAGAAAGATTCCAAAAACAACAAGCAGCCACGATTTAACTGCTATGCTTCCTAGTGGGAAGTAACATTTAGAAGCCCAAGTATCTGGCTGCAATACTTAGACCAAAGAAGTCCCATCAAACTACCCTGTGAAATCAATATGTTATCCACATACATACATGAGCCATATACCTACATTAATTTACTTCTAAAGCTTGATTGCAGGTTATATAAAAGTGAAACTACAGTCACCTAGAAACAAAATAGCAATCCACATTCTTAAGTAATGAATATATCAACCGATAATATATGAATTATGATAACTTTAATAAAATAGAAATACTAGACTACTCTAACAAATTACACCAAAAAATTCAAAAAAAAAAAAGATGAAGAAAAAGGATAACACAGAATAATCCACCCACATTCAGTAAGAAAATTAATTGCTGCCACTATGGACTATAACAAACACTTCAAAACATTCACACGAACAAACACTTCAAGCATTAGAAGAAGTGTCTAGTGAGCTTACCACAGTTTTCCACAAGCTTTGATGAATTCAACCTGCGAGAAGGCATCGAACTCAAGAGTCGTTGATAATCTGGAAATAAAGACTGTGACGCAGAAAAATAGACAGATGCAAAAGAAAATGACACAACAATGAGCACAAAAACAGAACTTTTAAGTCACTACCTCACCAATTAGAATAATATGCTGACCTTCGGTATGGAAGAAGTATTACGCAGCTCTTCTGTTTTGCTTAGCTTCATACCAGACAAAAGTTCATGAATAAGACAACCTACCATTAAAAGAGAAATTAGACTGCTGTTTAAAATATACTACACGAGTTATAGTTCCATACATTAGAAGACAAAATTGGAGATCAAAAGGCGTCGCTCGATCTAATTGTATGAGGCACCCTCTCCAAATCGGCCAATATTGTTGCACGACACTGCAATATGAGCTGAATCTATTGCCATGTTCATGTTCTTCTATAGTTCTATCTAACATTTCGTGTATATCAATTGATAGCATTCTGCAACACCACAACCAATTGTCTCAGTGGCATCTGAATTGATAGCTGATCCTGCAGCCTTGAACCATGGATATTCCTAATGACTAAAAAAAGCTTCAATTGCACAGTGCCTGACATCTAATCAAAAGAAAAATGTCACACAATGCATTACAATTTTACTGCTCGCAGTTGGTTGAATTTTGACAATGTGCACCTTCTTCTAGTAAAGTATGAATCTTGATCATTTTCTACGCAGGCATAGGAATCCACTAAGTAGTAGAATGTGCACAAGCCCCAATAGCAATGAATTGCCAAAGCCGTTGTAGGGAATATAGATTATATCACCAACCCAAATACAAGAGTCGTTGCTAGCTCCAACAAATAACAACTATCCCACGAAAGTGGATGCAAGCAAAAAATACCAAGATAAATGCAATATCACGAATACTATATGCTCCATCTGGTATCTTCAGATTAGAACAAAAGAATATTGCTCTTAGCAATCCCGCGATATGAGAAGATCATGTCTACCAAATGAATAAAAAAAACTACCAAAACAACAGAAGGGGCAATGAAAGACTTACCCAATCCCCAAGAATCAATAGCCCAAGGTGGAGATTTTCTAATTGTTGCCCAATCAGACTTTAGCAACTCCATCGATTTGTATTGTGAATCAACAAGCCACTCATATTGCTGGACCAAAAATAAACAATAAGAAGCCCAAATTAATTCTGATGAACATCACATTAGAAGTTGGAAAGCCAACAATAAAATCCAAACAAATGATCACCAGCATTGGTCCCTAAGAAGTTTCATTATTTCCATCAAACTCGGATAGTACATCAAACGCATGCAGCTTCCAGTCCAATGTTTGAGTAACAACAACACTGGCCAGACAAACATTACTATGAACCTGCATTACCAAAAGTTTTCAAAAACCAAACCCAACATAATATAATATACCTATATGTGTGTGTATGTATAAAAGGAGAGAGAAGGAGGCCAAGGGGGAGGAGAAGGAGGGATGAGGGGGAGATCAACTTTAATCATCTTAAGTAGAATCTACTATCATAGTTATAAAAGCAGGAAAAATACAAGAAACAGAACAAGGTGCAATAAAATATGAGATCTCTATCCTCAACACAACCAACTTTTCATATGATTTATGAATGACAATGCATATCAAAAACCTGCATTTGGAACAAATCCAATAATAGTAGCTCAAAATTTTGCAGCACCATGAAAGGATTTTTTGCTGCATCTGCAAAATGTCAGCAATTGGGAATATTGTCGCAGATATAAAGAGGTCTTCCCCTAAGCTAAATCTTAGCATCGTCAGCACCTCTAGGGCATCAGCAGGAGCCCAATTTTAAATTCCCTTTTTCTTATTTTCTCTCTCTAAAGGATAGGGAAAAAAAATCAAAATAGATGCTGCATGCCTGCACATAAGTCCATGTAAATAACTCAGCTGAATCCATTAACTTTTAAAATTTGTCTAAAGAAAACATTTTAAATTTTTATATATGCCTAAAGGTTGTGACAAATCATAACACTTGATACGAACATATTTAGCAAAAATCCATTAAAAATACTTACAAGCTTACAATCATTATTTAAGAAGCTCACAGCTTTAGCTATCCGNGGTAAGTGGTGCGGCTATGCTACTAAAGTCTTTCACAAACCGCCGATAGAAACTAGCAAGTCCATGAAAACTACGAACATTACTCACACTTGTGGGACTCGGCCATTCTTGGATTGCACGTACCTTATCTTCGTCAACCTGTATACCTTGTGCACTAACAACATAACCCAGAAATACAAGCTTATCGGTATAAAAAGTACACTTCTTTAGATTAGCAAACAACTTTTCTTTCCTAAGCACATCTAAAACAGATTTCAAATGTATTACATGATCGTCCATGTTTTTGCTATAAATGAGTATATCATCAAAGTAGACAACAACAAATCTGCCTATAAATTCACGCAAAACATGATTCATAAGTCTCATAAAGGTGCTCGGAGCGTTAGTCAATCCAAAGGGCATAACTAACCATTCATACAAACCATATTTTGTTTTAAAGGCTGTTTTCCATTCATCTCCTTCTTTTATTCTAATCTGATGATAACCACTCTTTAAGTCAATCTTAGAAAATACACAAGATCCATGCAGCTCATCTAACATATCATCTAAGCGAGGAATAGGATGACGATACTTTACCGTTATGTTGTTGATGGCCCGGCAATCGGCGCACATTCTCCACGTCCCATCCTTCTTAGGTACAATTAAAACTGGAACAGCACATGGGCTCATGCTCTCCCTCACATGCCCTTTCTCCAACAACTCACTTACCTGCCGTTGAAGCTCCTTTGTCTCCTCGGGATTGCTCCTATAGGCTGGTCGGTTTGGAATTGTTGCACCGGGAACAAAATCAATTTGATGTTCAATCCCTCGGATTGGAGGTAACCCATGTGGTGTTTCCTCTGGAAAGACATCCTCATACTCCTGCAAAAGAGAAACAACAGAACTAGGCAAAGCAAGGTCAAGTTTGTTAGTGTTTAAAAGTGCCTCTTTGTACAAAAGTACAATCATCGGCTGATTTGAAAACATGGCTCTCTTAATCTCACTCACTTTTGCATAGAAATTCTTTTGTTTCCTCTCTGATTTTTTTTCAATGGCCGCATTTTGATTTTCTTTTTCTCTCTCATTTTTCTCGGCCTCTCTCTGATTTTCACTCTTTTTCTTTGGTTCACTCTCTTTCTTTTGATCACTCTCTTTTTGCAATCTCACTTGATCCTCATATACTTGCTGCGGTGTCAATGGTACAAGAGTGATTGATCGTTGATTAAGCACAAAGGAGTATTTGTTTGTAAAGCCATCATGCTTCACATGCCTATCAAACTGCCATGGACGCCCTAGCAATAAGTGTCCAGCTTGCATTGGTACTACATCACACAACACTTCATCTTTGTACTTACCAATTCGAAATGCAACTAACACCTGCTTGTTCACCCTTATCTCACCACTATCATTCAACCATTGCAACTTATATGGTTTAGGGTGCTTCAACACGGGTAGTCCCAACTTCTCCACCATAATTGTGCTTGCAACATTAGTACAACTACCACCATCAATAATTACACTACACACCTTGTCTTTGATGTAGCACCTAGTGTGGAAGATGTTATCCCGCTGCACTTCATCAACTTCCTTCGCATGTGCGCTTAATGCTCTCCTTGCAACCAATGTCAATGCATCAGGGGCTAAATATTCCTCCTCGGGAACGTCCTTCAATGGTGGCATGCCATCGGTGTCAGAATCTTCTTCGTCGGTCACAATTTCACCATTGCCTTGCAACACCGTGACCTGTTTGTTTGGACATTGACTTGCTATGTGTCCCCGGCCTTGACATTTAAAACATTTAATGTCACGATTCCTAGAGGTAAAAGAGTCGGTTTTACCTTGAGGAATGTGGCTGGTGTTCGCGGACTAGGGCTCGGCTTTGGACGTTGGTGACTTGTCTAGTTGCTTGGTATAACTCGATTTCCAAGAATTAGAACTAGAGTTATGGGCTGCACGTGACCCACCCCCCTCTTGAGTTGTTGCTCCACTTTGATGGCCATGTGCACCATATCTTCCAACTCCACGTAATGCTGCATCTCCACCTTATCTTGGATTTTCCGGTTTAATCCAAGTAAGAACCTAGCCATGGTAGCCTCTCGATCTTCCTCTACATTAGCTCAGATCATAGCAATCTCCATCTCCTTCTCCCACTCAAGGTATGCTTCAGGATCCGATCTACCTTGAAAGGATGGAATTTTCATCTTAATACCACCCAAGTTGTTATATTCCCGGTTCCTAGCTTCTCTAAACTACCCTACCTGTCTCCTAACAACAGAATTCTGATCATCTTCTTCATCAAAACCAGCCCCATAAGGCTCTTCATCTTCTTCTCTTACTTCCCTTGGTTGAACTCTTTCCCTTCTGTGCACATTAGGGACGTTTTGTGGCTCCCTCTCTTGTGTTTTCTCCATCTGATCTATTCGTTCATGAACTTGCTCTAGTTCTAACTTCATCACACGCCTCATCTCACTCATCATGGCCTCCATAAATAATTTTGGGTCAGCAAGATCCGTATCATTGTTGTGAGACATGATTGCTACAAAACAAAGTTAGAAACAAAATAATAATAATAATAATAATAAAAGAACCTCACAATTCTCTCCCTTACGTGTTTACACTCAAGAATGTGGATCACTCAACACTCGTGTTTCACTAAAAATACATGGCTATTTTTTTTTTTACCCTCCAATGTTCTCACCACTCTTGCCTTTTTTCCCACTCAATAATTTCTCTTTCAGTTCTTCTGAAACTAAACAAACAATTCTCAAAGTTTCAAGCAACAATTCACCAAGAACTCATCAAGGAATTTCAGGTTTGAGGAGCAAGAATTCAAGGAACACAGCTGGTTAGATTTTCGGAAGCACAAATTTGCAAGACTTCCAAAAAGAAAAAAACCTGATTTTGGGGAGAGATGGTTTTCGGACTTATTGGACCCTAGATGGATGATTTACAAACAATTTGATTTTTTTTTTGGGCGATGGATAAACACAAACAATCTGGCTTCTTTTTTTTTTTTGGATGAGCACAAACAATCTGGCTTTTTTTTTTTGTCTCTAGCTCTTTTTTTCTTCTTTTTTTTTTTGACCAGAAACTAACTTTTTGTGGTAACAGAATATGAATTTGTAATATGTAGAACCAACAAAATATGAACGGAATAGGGTAAAGGAAATTTAGCTACACTAGGGTATGTGAACCAAATTTTTAGGAACTAAAAGACACAGAGTAACGAAGAGAAAGGGAGAAGGAATAACGAAGAGAAAGGTTTTAAGTGATAGACAAACCTGAACTCGAGCCTTTGCTCTGATACCAAATGGTGTGGTACCCGCAAGAAATAATGAGAACCAACAACGAAAAGAACCCAACATCGTTTAACGATTNGAATAGTGTCACGGTTATTGTAGCATGAACAGTACCATGCTGTAGTACTTATTCTAAACCCTAGTTCAAATAAAATAATAAGACATATGTGGGCTAAGCATCCTCAAACCCACTTATTCTAAACTAATAATAAAAATTATTTAAACAAATTGAAAGGCTTAACAACAAAAAACCAATTGAATCTTAGCCTTAGCCCCTAGCTGGTTTCTTCTAGAACTTGAATCATGTTGATGAATCTTTGTTGCCCAAGTGGATCATGGTCAATGGGCCTCCACAAACTTTCTTGATTCCATGTCTCTTGAATTAGTCCATTGAGTACCTCTTTAAACTTCCTTGCTCGTGCTCTCGTAACCGGCCCACTTGGAACTTGAACTAAATCCCTTGAAGTTGTATTATGATTTGCATCACCAATGCCAGCACCCTTATGATTTGAGGATCCATCGACAGATAGGGTCCAACTGCTACCAAGCCCTAGCTCCCGGTTGCAAGTAGTCTCTTTACTCTGCGCTGAGCTATCTTTAGGTTGAAATTATGTGATAAAGTTTGCCACAACCTAGCCCTTTATCGCCTTTCTTGATTCGAATCGAACATCGAACTCCCTTAGCTCCATTGCCCATTTAGCAACACGTCCCGACAAATCGGCTTTATAAAAGAGTGACTTTAGCGGTTGATCAGTGAGTACTGTGATTTGGTGGGCTTGGAAATAATGTCTAAGCTTCTTCGGCGACATAATCAGTGCTAGGGCAAGCTTTTCCAATGGAGTATACCTCGATTCTGCATCCAAAAGTATCTTACTC